AATTTGAAAATATTTGATCAAAATAGCTAATTATACAATCTTTTAAATTTTTTAATCCTAAAATATATTCTGGGACTTATGAAATTTACCAAGAAGAAAGAAAAATAATAAGAAAAAGAAAGCAGGATGAAAGTGTACTATTATCTAATAAAAAGCAGAAATCCTTAGAAGGAAAATAATTTGATTATTACAATATTGGTTTATTTTTTTTTACCAACTTACTAAAAGAAAATTCTCTATGCAAATGTAATTAATGATCATCATAGTGTATTGCTTATTAATAAATTCTACTACACTCAAGGATATGTTTTATAAGTCTCTCATTGACATTGAAACAAGATAAATAATCCTGCCTTGCATTGGAACATTAGAAAAACATTACCAATTCACTTAATTTTCAGATAAAAAAATTCAAATAACAAACCCTTCTAATAATCACATTAAACAATTTTATTTTGGTTTAAAAAACAAACAAATGATCAATAAATATTTATACATATTTTCATCCATAATAACATTTTAAAAAAAGCTTACATTCAATAGTGAACTTTTTTGTGGATTGTTAATTGGACTCATGCTTGGTTTCTTATTTCACTATAAACTTACAAAAATCAATTTTATATTATTGTTACCAGAATTAGGATTTAATGCTAAATTGTTAGTCGAAATACAGTGCAGATCATCTATAATCATTAATTGCTTATAGTGACAATTGGTCAACTAAAACAAAAAAAAATTATATTATTTTAAAAAATTTAACCGATAAGTTTATTGTTCACAACCCAAGCTTTAAAACTTATTGGCTGGTTTTTTCTTAAACTGAAAATTGGCAGAGCCTTAGTGCTTTGAACGGTAGGGAGAGATTCAGTATGGTATAACTCTTGCAGAACATATGGTATGGTATGGTATAGCCCATATTTTTCTGTACCAAATCACACAAAATTTTATTCTAAATCCTTTTTTGGTGGGTGTGAAGGGAAGTATGTTAGATTTAAGCATTGGTATACACCATTTTATTACACTTATACAATACCATACCATACGTTTTGCAAGAGTTATACCATACTGAATGTCCCTATACTCTAAATAATAACTTGTTGTATAGCTTTGCATCACGTGATTGACATCATACCGATATTGCAAATTTGGAATCTCTTCTTTTCTTTATATAATTTTAATAATTTTGAAAATTCCATCCTTCATATAATACATTACAAAGATATATTTTTTTGCAGCTGGACCTTGTGTTAATCTATAAATAATAATCGCAAAAGATTTATTACTTATCTCGTTAAGAAATTTATCATAAACACTTGGTGAATTATGTAATTTTTTTAATGCCACATTCTATCTTTGCTAATAATTATTTGTAGATTCCCAACTATTTACCAAAATAACTTTTGTATATAGATGCAAAACCACATTCACCTATCTTTTCAATATTTGTTAAATCATTATAAGGAATCCATTGAAAGATAATGACCAGAACCTTCTCACATTTTTTTTTTCGTCATCTTTGGAAGTGTATTACATATATATACTAATAATGTCAGCAGGTAGAGGTGCCTTATACGGCTAAGAACTTGGATAATTTTTTTAAAAAATCAGTTGTTTTTATTATCAATTTTTTTTTTTGTAAATAAATCCCCAGTTGTCAGATGGTACTAAGCTTGCCGGCATTGATCACTACTACCATCGCTATTATTATTACTACTACTATTGTTATTATTATATCTCCTAATTTGCCGCCATTAATACCTCTTTTTTACTAGGTTTCCTACA